CCTTCCTTTCCTGGCACAGGGTCCACAGCCCCGGAACCCCACTTGTGTGGGAGCTGGGCACAGGGCAGCAGAACTAATCCTTGGAACAGCTCAGGGAAGATTATCCCAGCCACTGTCAGCAGTGGTGCAGCTGGCTCATTTCCAGATAGGGGGAGGCCAGAGCCAGGGGCCTGCCACACGTGGGAAGGCTGGGGAAGAGGAGCCCAGCAGAGGTGTCCTGGCTGTGGGTGGCTCTGAGGGGGCTCTCAGGGGTGGGGCTAAATCTCAGGGGCAGGATTATGCAAATCAGACCAATTCTAGCCAGAGATCTAAAGCTTGAGGAAAAAAAAAAAAAAAAAGACCCTCCTGGGGGAAGAAATTTAAATTATAAAAACTTAGAAGTATGAAATGTGAAATCATCCCTTAAGTGCTTATTTAACAAGGAAATCATCCTGACACAATGAGCCATATGTGAAAAGTCCTCCTTCCCCAACACACACCCCAACGGGCACTCCCCAAGCCGCTACCACCCAAGTGCTGGCATCCTTCCTGTCCTGAGACACCCCTTGTCTCATAAGAGAAGCAACCACAGGAGGGGTGACAGGAAAGCAAGACATGACGTTCTCAGGCCCAGTTTGGGGTGGGGAGAAAGCCTCCTGATCCTGGAAGCAAGAATTTGACCAGAGCAGAAGTAATCAGTATGCAGATTGACTCTCTGGTATGTTAATGTTTATGCATAGATTATGAGGACCAGGTGAAAAGTGGGCCAGGGGAGCCAGCTGTGTGTGTGAGTCGTGGGAGGCTGAGATGAGGACAGGAGGGAAACTGGTTCGGAAGCTGCTGGTGATGGGGTGGGGGTGCCGGGAGGAAGGGAGGCAGTTGTTTGAATGTCTGCATGAAAAAGCAGAGGACAGCGGGGTCTGGGTGAATTCGGGCAACTATTTGGACCATGGAGAAAGCTGCCTATGTGCGGCTGAGGACCTGAACCATTGATTTGTTTTTTAACTAATGCAAAGATAAATATAAAGACTGATACTCCATCCAGTTACCAGAAAACATTGAATTATGTGTGAGACAACTTGGGTATGTGAACCTACCTTTTCAGTGTAAATTCAGTGAAATCTAAATACAGATCCCATACTTCCAATAAAAAGGCAACATCCAACTCAGATGTCCTATAAGTATAAAATAAAAACCTTCTAGGACTTAGTATGAAAAGGGATTTTTTTTTTTTCAGGTACCTCATTAGTCGTTTTTAAAATAGGATTGCATGTTGAAATGATAATCTTTTGGATATATTGGGTTAAGTAAATGTCTTATTAAAGTTAATTTCACTTAAAAATGCTTAATGTAGCTACTAATTTTAAAATTATGCATGTTGCTCACCTTATGTTTCTATTGGACGGCTCTCTCTAGACATAAAGGCTGCCCAGAGGGACCTCACTCTGGCTTCAAGGAGAAGAGAGGAATTAGGGAGGCCAAGCAGAGTCTCCTGAAGGCAGGGCCAAGGGTGGCTTGGTAGGGCGGGGATAGGGTGCACAGAGAAAACTCCAACGCTTAAGACGGTGTTTCTCGGAGCAGGCTGTGACATGTCATTTATATGAGGCTTAGGAGCCCCTCAGATGCCCCCAGATCTGCACTCCTGAATTCCCCTGGGCCCCTGCCATCTTTGTTCCCGTGCTGGCATAGTGGTCTTACCTCCGGCAGTATCACCACCACTGGGCGCAAGCTTCTCCAGCACAGCAGCTGTCTTATTTCTCCTGGTACTCCCAGTGTTCACACCATGCTGCACTCACCGAAGGTTCTTTGGTAATATTTTGTGGACAGACAGAACGCAGTCGACGGAAGAGCCGTCTGTGAGAGTGGGTTGAAGTGTGCGTTCGGCTCCAGAGACCTTAAGAAGGGAGGCCAGGTCCTGAGTGAAGTTGAAGGGGAGGGGCTGAGGCCGGCTGGCAAGGAGTCTCCTCCCCTGGGGAAGTTCCAGGGACCTCTCAGAAGTGCGAGCGGACGGTGCTAGTGTCAGTCCAGTGACACAGCCCAGACCCTGCCTTCCATGGGGTTTCACAGGAGCCCCGAACTGCTCTTCTGCTTCCATTTTTGCCCCTTCAGTCTATTCTCAACAGGGAAGTCGGAGCATCCTTAACCATGTCAGATCATGTGGCTCCTCAGCTCAAAGCCTCATCTCAGACGAAAGCCCTGGTCCCTTAAAAATGGCCCAGGTAGGCCGGGCGCGGTGGCTCAAGCCTGTAATCCCAGCACTTTGGGAGGCCGAGACGGGCGGATCACGAGGTCAGGAGATCGAGACCATCCTGGCTAACAC